TAAGCAGTTTTCTGCTGCCCCTTCTTTCCAATCAGAGACTTGCGGATGTGAGGGATCACATCACCCCCAGCTCTGGTAGCCTTGATAAGAGAATCCAACTCTTCATCACCACGGACCGCAAGCTGCAAGCGGCGCGGACACTACCTGCCAGCTGCAGCACCTCCGCGGTGAGGTGCCCCAGGATCGCGGCCCTGCACACGGCCGCAGTGGCACCGACCCTTCCGTGGCTTGTGGCCCACGGGAAACTGCAGCCCAGCTCTCTGGGAGCAAGACCCTGCCTTAGCCTTGGCCTTCCCACTGTCCTTACCAGCTCTGCCTCCAGCTGTGGTCTCTGCGCTCCCGCCCTCACTCCTGCTGAGCTGGAGGCACTGCCGCTTCTCCCCCAGCACCGCCCCGCCAATGCCCGGACAAGAGGGCCCCCCTCGGTCATTCCCTTTTTAAAGGCCTACTACATTCAAATTTAAAACAAGAGATTCTCAAAAATGGTACCTCACTTTAAAAAAGAAACAATAGCCCTGGCCGGTTTGGCTCAGCGGTTGGAGCATAGGTCCATACACCAAAAGGTCAGCAATTCAATTCCCGTCAGGGCACATGCCCAGGTTGTGGGCCTGGTCCCCAGTGGGGGGTGTGCAGAAGGTGGCCAATGGATGTTCTCTCTCATTGATGTTTCTAACTCTCTCTCTACCTTTCTCTCTCTCAAAATCAATAAAGAAAAAAAAATTTAAAAGAAAAAGGTCAACAATACTTCAAAGCATTGCAAACTGTCTTTAACAATGAAACGGCACTAGCTCGGCCAGTATGGCTCAGTGGATTGAGCATCATCCCATGGACTAAGAGGTCCCGGTTGGTTTTTTTTTTAATCCTCACCCGAGGACATTTTTCCATTTTTTGTTCAGGTAGAGTGGGAGGGAGAGAGAGGAACAGAGAGAGAGAGAGAAACATCTATGTGAAAGGGACACATCGAGTGGCTGCCACCCACACAACCAACCAGGGCTGGGGACAAACTGCAACCGAGGTACGTGCCCTTAGCAGGAACCGAACCTGGGTCTCTCAGGACCGCAGGCTGACACTCTAACCGCTGAGCCAACCGGTTTGATTCCCAGTCAGGGCACATGCCTGGGTTGAGGACTTGATCCTCAGTGAGGGGCGTGCAAGAGCCAACCCATGGATATTTCTCTCTCACATCAATGTTTCTCTCTCTCTCCCTTCCTCTCTCTCTAAAAAATCAATTAAAACAAAATGAAACTGCACTTAAAAATCACCTTTCCCTGTAATAGCCAGTTTCATACTGAAGCGAGCATCAGTGGTCATTGGTATTTCTCCTGATACCCAAAAGTATCACTTATTTTATATTTCTAGTATGTTCTTTCAAATTGCTGAGTTTTAAAGTGCTTTCTGGCCCTGGCCGGTTGGGCTCAGCGGTTGGAGCGTCGGCCTTCGGACTAGAGAGTCCCAGGTTTGGTTCCTGCTAGGGGCATGTACCAAAAAAATAAAAAAATAAAAAAATAAATAAAATAAAATGCTTTCTGAAAAACTCTAGATTTTAATTGATAACACATTAGTTACTCAGATTCTGGGCTTTTTTGTTTGTTTGTTTGTATAAAACAAATTTTTTTTTCTTTACTGATTTTAGAGAGAGAGGAAGGGAGAGACAGAAACACTGATGAGAAGTAACATCAGTTGGCTGCCTCCTGCATGCCAGGCCCACAACCTGGGCATGTGCCCTGACCGGGAATCAAACCAGCGACCTCTTAGTGCATAGTTTGATGCTCAACCACTGAGCCACACCAGCCAGACTGGGCTTTTAACTTTTGAAAAAATTAAAATTATAAGAATTAGAAAACCATGTATGGTGGTCTAGTGTGAGAAGCAGATGAGATCCCAGTCCTGGCCAAAGGCACCTAATGAAAATTAGGCTTCTAGATGTGTCATTTTGAGCCAGCCATTGAAGTTCCTGGGATTTGTTTTCATATCTGTTAAATAAGGTAGAAGGACCTGTTGTTTATCTAAGGATCCTTCCAGACTAATATGCAAATTAATATTTTACAATAATACAGGGCAGATTAAGTACTGGGCTTTGTGGGTGGGTCCTGAATGAGGGGTCATTGCTAAATCAGCAACCCACCCTTAAATAAATTAATCTATCCAAGTCTCACCTTTTTTTTTTTAATCCTCACCCGAGGACATTTTTCCATTTTTTTTGCACAGTTAGAGTGGGAGGGAGAGAGAGGAAGAGAGAGAGAGGGAAACATCGATGTGAAAGGGACACATCGAGTGGCTGCCACCCGCATGACCAACCAGGGCCGGGGACAAACTGCAACCGAGGTACATGCCCTTAGCGGGAACCGAACCCGGGCCTCTCCGGACCGCAGGTGGATGCTCTAACCGCTGAGCCAAACCGGCCAGGGCTCACCTTTTTTTTTTTTTAATCCTTACCCGAGGACATTTTTCCATTTCTTGTTCAGATAGAGTGGGAGGAGAGAAACATCAATGTGAAAGGGACACATCGAGTGGTTGCCACCTGCATGACCCAACCAGGGCCAGGGACAAACTGCAACTGAGGTACGTGCCCTTAGCGGGAACTGAACCCGGGCCTCTCTGGACCGCAGGCCGATGCTCTAACCAATGAGCCAAACTGGCCAGGGCCCAAGTCTCACCTTTAAAAAAGGATTAAAAATAAATACCTCACAAGGCTTTTGTGATGTTAAATGAGATAGTATAAAGTACTTAGCAGAATACTTGGCAAATTTAATCACTCAATAAATATATTTATGATTATCTTACTGTGTGGATTCACAAAATAATAGTTTCTTTATCTGCAAATTGGGGTAGAAAGAGCAGATGAAAACTGTTCAAAGATGTAAGATTACCTATTAGTAATATATGGTCAAAGATCAGAGGTTAGAGAAACAAGGGATATTCTTCACCACCTAGTAAACATGGCCTTTCTATCTTCGTGAGTCACGATTAGTGCCCTACTTTTGTCCTTAGAGAGGGTGTGACAAGACTTGTACATTACCTTTTTTTTTTTTAATTCAAGGGAAGAATTCATAGATTCATGACTTTTACTGTAAAGATTGCACACAGCTAAAAGATGTAGGTTCCTTCCTTTCTCACACCCTCCACCCCTACCTATTCTGTATTTTCCCAATTGATCTTTTTGTTTTTAATCCTCCCTCGTGGATATTTTTCCATTTCTTTTTAGATAGAGCAGGAGGAAGAGAGGAAGAGAGAGAAAAAACATCAACATCGAGGTGAGAGAGACAAATCATGCCTCCTGCACGACCCCAATTGGGGCAACCAAGGCCAACCCTCCAATGGCTGAGCCAAACGGGTCAGGGCTGCTGTTTTTTGTTTCTTAACCTAAGTGTAGCACTTTAGCTCCTTGAAAATATACCACGTTAATTTCAGTTCCTAGTTCCAGCTAAAAACTAAAAATCTGATTTTGTCATAAAACACACTAATACACTGACAGTCACCCAGTACTGGGATTCCTGGTGGATTTTATTTTCTCTTCTTTAGCTTAAATGACTTCATACAAAGAGCATGCATTACTTGTGTGGTAAGCTGAAAAAAATATCTAAAAACTAAATAAATCTGGCTAGTCCACTGGCAATTTTAGTAAGCATGTTCTTCTATAACTCCTTAATAAAAATGATGAGAAGGGGGAACCAACTACTGAATCCTCCCATTAAAGATCTCCCCAAAGGCCCTGGCTGGGTTGCTCAGTGGATTGGAGTGTCATCCCATACACTGAAAGGTTTCGGGTTCCGTTCCTGGTCAGGGCATATACCTAGGTTCTGGGTTTGATTTTCTTCCATCAATGTTTCTATTTCTCTTTTTCCTCCCTTCCCCTCTCTCTAAAATTAATAAGCATATCCTTGGGTGAGGATAAAAAAAAAAAAATCCCATAAATTCCACAGATTAGAAAAAGCAAAAAAAGTTTCCACTCAGAATTTAAAAGAAAAGTATTGACATTCTGACTCTAGGGGTCGGAGGAAATAGCATGAAGCAATATAACACAGTGGTTAAAAGTTGCCATGTGGTTTCTCAGCTCAACCTGGAACAAATGACTTAATTTCTCAGAACCTCCGTTTGCTTACCTGTAAAGTGGGGATGATACCTGTAAAGTGGGGATGATACCTACCTCCTACCTCATTAGACTCTTCCAAGCATTGAATGCAATAATGCATACAAAGGCCTAACTAAGCACCTGATAAGGGCTTAATAAACGGTATTACTACAACATTTCGTTTCAAATTTGAGTGTGAAGTACCTAAAAAACAAAACCAAACCAGAGGGCCTATGACAAGCCAGGAACTTGGTATTTTCCACCGAGTCAAAGCCGCGCGTTAATATCAGTGCAGTCAAATGCCAGGCAAGGTGCTACAGCAGGTTTTTTTGTTTTTTTTTATCCTCACCCGAGGATATTTTTCCATTTCTTGTACAGATAGAGTGGGAGGGAGAGAGAGGAAGGGAGAGAGAGAGAGAAACATCGACGTGAAGGGACACATCGAGTGGCTGCCACCCGCACGACCAACCAGGGCCGGGGACAAACTGCAACCGAGGTACGTGCCCTTAGCGGGAACCGAACCGGGTCTCTCCAGACCGCAGGCCGACGCTCCAACCGCTGAGCCAAACCGGCCAGGGCGCTACAGCGGGTTTTAAGACATCCCCACCCTCGGAGAGCCGGGGTTCCCCACGGTCCGGGTTTCTCAGGCTCAAGGTCGCTTTCAAAGCGCGGCTGGTTGTGTGGGCCGGACTGTTCCCATGACAACCGCCACAGAGTCTCTCCGAGGGGGTTCCACCTCTTCCCGCTAAACCCCAAGTCCGCACAGGGGAAGCCCGCTGCACAGCCCGGCGGCGCCTTGCCCGGATGCACACTCCAGAAGGGCCCGGCACCGGGGCCGAGCCCCACCCCGCTTCCGGCCCTTCCGGCCGCCCTGCCCTTTCGCCCCGGAAGTGCATACAGGGAGAGGAAGCAGCTGGTGATGCTGGAACAAACATGGCTGCCCCGGCGCCCGTCGGCCCCTCGGGCTCCTGCTGTCGTCGGCTGGCCGCGGGCCTACGGTTGCTTCCGCTGCTGTGGCTACTGCAGCTGCTGGTGGAGCCCGGCCTGGGCCGCGTCCACCACCTGGCGCTCAAGGTACGGCCGGCTGGAGCGGGCGGGGCCGAGCGGGGGGCGGAGGCAGAGGCCGCTCCCCGGCGGGAGGCAGCTTTGGCCCAGGGGTCTTTGGGCAGTTGCCCCCACCCCGCCCCGGGACGCGGCCTCTCTGTGAGGGGCTGTTGCGACTGTGGGGATGGCGTCTGGAAGGGGCCGGAGAGCTAGCCGACGGAGAAGGGGCCGAACGCGGCGCAGTCGAAGCACTCGGGGGGCCGCGCTTGCAGCCCCTGCTGGCTTCCTGGGCTCCTCGCTGAAAGCAGCCTGTCGGCTTCCTCCAGCTTGCACCCGACCTCACCTGTCCGCAGTCCTCCGCTCCCCCATCCCCTGTGCCCGGCGGTCACCGACGCTCGGAGCGCAGCCTGTTTCCGGGTCTGGCTTAGGGCGCTCTCCGGACTGATCGCAGTGGGAAGCTGCGAGCGGGATTTCAAGTGTCGCTTGAAATACGTGACGGACAATTGAAAACCAGCATTAAAAATATGTTTCTAGCCCAGGATGCGTGGCTCAGTGATGACAGCGTCGTCCCGTGCACCGAAGGGTCGCGGGTTCGATTCTCGGTCATGGGCACGTACCTGGGTTGCAGGTTTGACCCCGGCCCTGGTTGTGGTGCGTGCGGGAAGCAACCAATTGATGTCTCTTTCTCACATAAGATGCCCTCCCACCCCCATCCACGCTCTAAAAAACAATGGAAAAAATATCCTCGGGTGAGGATTAACAAAATACATATATATATATATATATATATATATATATATATATATATGTGTGTGTGTGTGGTGTGTGTGTGTATGTTTCTAATGAGAGAGCCTGTGTTTTTATCTCTTGCTCCTGTCACTGTCTAGGGAAGAGATTTATGATAGTCCTAGAATGATCCCTTGGACTTTACTTTATAGCTCTCAACTAAAAGTCATCTGAGGCTAAAACATGACTCCAGGCTGGAAATTGTTACGATCCAAAGCCTTGTACATGATTTTCATTATACACAGTTTGCTAAAAAATTGTGGGATTGTAGAAAGTTTGTCTTATTAAAACACATTACTCTCCCTGATGGTTTGTTCAGTGGTTAGAGCTTATGCCTGAGGACCAAAGAGTCTTGAGTTCGACGCAGGTCAAGGGCATGTTCCTCAGTTGCAGTTGGGTCCTAGCCCTGGTCACGGTCCTGCAAGAGGCAACCTGTCAATGTGTCTCTCATGTTGATGTTTCTTTCTCCCTCCTACTGTATCTGAAGATAGGTGAGAATTTAAAAAAAACAATACGGCCCTGGGCCGGTTTGGCTCAGCGGTTAGAGCATCGGCCTGCGGTCCTGAGAGACCCGGGTTCAGTTCCCGCGAGGGGCGCGTACCTTGGTTGCAGTTTGTCCCCGGTCCTGGTCGGTTGTGCGGGTGGCAGCCACTTGATGTGTTCCTTTCACGTCGATGTTTCTCTCTCTCTCTGTTCCTCTCCCTCCCTCCCACTCTACCTGAACACAAAAAATGGAAAAATGTCCTTGAATGAGGATAAAAAAAATAAAAAAAAATACAGCTCTGGCTGGATTTGCTCAGTGGTTAGAGCATTGGCCCGCAGACCAGTGAGTCTTGGGTTCGATTCCAGTCAAGGTCCCGGACCTCGGTTGTGGTTTGTCCCCTGCCCTGGTCGGGGTCATGCAGAAGGCAGCCATGCAGGAGGCAACCGGTCCATGTGTCCCTCTCATGTCATGTTTCTCTCCTTCTCTTTCCCTCCCTCCCACTCTATCTGAAGATAAATAGAAAAATATCCTTGGGTGAGGATGAAAAAAAAAGAAAAACAAAAATAATACATTACTCTAACAAACCATGAGGCATTATATTTTGTAAACTTAGAGTTTAAGGAATACAGAATCTGCTAAAAAGCTTGGCCAGACCCATATACCATACTTTGGGTTTGTAAATAAAAATTATCTAGATTAAAATGGTTCTTAACCACAGGGAGCTAGGTGAGTCTTGACTCCTTTTGAGAGTCTACCGTAGAACCTCTCCCCAGAAAAGTGCAGGTCATCGCTTAGACAAAACTTTCTTGGAATTTCTAGGGCTTTATGGTCCTACAGAATCTTATCTATAGGGTCTGTCCCTCAAACTTATGACTCCACGTTCAGAACTCCTGATCTTTAAAATTCATTAATTTTATAGTTTAGGATCCTGAGTCTCAGATTAATAATAAAACTGAGTTCATATAGTTTATAAATTAGAGACAAAGCTAATAGTGGAATACACTGGATCATGACTCTTGTTCCCAATTCAGTACTCTCTGTACATTTCTAGAATTAAAATATCAGGTAAATATTAGGTAAATACTGACAATATTGGCATGGATTGAACAAGTGTACTAACCTTAGTGATAGAAGCAAACTGAAGGGTGCAATTCTGGTGATTAACTTCTCCCTGTTGTGCTAAGTTACTTAATGTTTTTAGTCTTTGTAACATGTTTCTTTTTTTTCTTTTTCTTTTCTTTTTTTTTTTTTTTTTTTTTTTTTTATATTTTGTTCAGATAGAGTGGGAGGGAGAGGGAGAGAGAGAGAGGGAAACATCGACGTGAAAGGGACACATGGAGTGGCTGCCACCCACACGACCCAACCAGGGCCGGGGACAAACTCCAACCAAGGTACATGCCCTTAGCGGGAACCGAACCCGTGTCTCTCCAGACCGCAGGCCAATGCTCTAACCGCTGAGCCAAACCGGCCAGGGCGTAACATGTTTCTTAAGTACTGTGGTGCCCATTCTATAATCAGAACTGTAATAGTCTCTTTTCTCTTAAAGTAAATTATAATTTCTTGCTCAAACAAATGGAAAACACCTGAATAGAGCCTATCTGAGCATCAACATTAGTTTGTCGTGTTTAGCTCCAAACTGAAAGAAATAGATCAGATTATAGACCCAGACTGGCAAGAATAACACTGAGTACCAGAAATATGCATTGATTATTTAGAAAACTTTTTATCATAGAGCATTTCAAACATATACCAAATTAGACAGAGTAGTATAATGAACTCTGATGTCGCTGTCACCAGCCTCAATAACTGTTCATCAGTTATTCTGCCCCATCTCCACACGCATCACTTTTCTGTTCACATTCTTTTTATTTTATTTTAATGAGAAACACGTCCCTTCATTTATTTTCTTTAGATTTAATTTATATTTTTATTTTTCTAATTTTTTATCCTCACCCAAGGACACTTTTGCATTCATCTTTATTTATTTATTTATTTTAATTTTATTTTTGTTACAGATGTTTCTCCTTTTTTACCCCATTGACACCCTCCTCCCCATCCTCCCCGCCCCGTCCCTGGTTTTTTGTCCATGTCCATTGGTTATGCATACATGCATATAAGTTCTGTGGTTTATCTCTTCTCACCCCCACCATCCCCTCTTCTGAGGGTTGTCAGTCTGTACCTTACTTCCATGTTTCTGGGTCTACCCTGTTCCTCAGACTGTTATATTCATTATATTCCATATGTAAGTGAGATCATGTGGTATTTGTCTTTTTCTGCTTGGCTTGTTTCACTTAGGATAATACTTTCCAGGTCCCTCCATGTTGTCTCAAAGGATAAGAGATCTTTCTTACAGCTGCATAGTACTCCATTGTGTATATGTACCACTGCTTTTTTATCCATTCCTCTACTGATGGACACTTGGGCTGTTTCCAGATCTTAGCTATTGTAAATAGTGCTGCTGTGAACATGGGGGTACATATATTCTTTCTGATTGGTGTTTCAGGCTTCTTAGGGTATATTCCTAGAAATGGGATCACTGGGTTAAATGGAAGTTCAATTTTTAATTTTTTGAGGTAACACCATATTGTTTTCCATAGTGGCTGCACCAATCTGCATTCCCACCAGCAGTGCACTAGAGTCCCCCTTTCTCAACACTTGTTTGATGATTTGTTGATGGCGGCCATTCTGACAGGTGTGAGGTGATACCTCATTGTTGTTTTAGCACTCATCTTTAGATAGAGCGAGAGGGAGAGAAGGAGGAAGAGAAAGAGAAATATAGATGTGAGAGAGACACACCGACTGGCTGCCACCCACACGACCCCAACCGGGGCCAGGGACAACTGCAACTGAGGTATATGCCCTTAATGGGAACTGAACCCGGGACTCTCTGGATCTTGGGTTGATGCTCTAACCGCTGAGCAAAACCGGCCAGGACTATCTTTTTTTTTTTATCCTCACCCAAGGACATTTTTTCATTTTTTGTTCAGAGTGGGAGGGAGGGGGAGGGGGGAAAACATCCATGTGAAAGGGACACATCGAGTGGCTGCCTTCCGAATGACCCCACCAGGGCTGGGAACAAACTGCAACCAAGGTATGTGCCCTGAGTGGGAACTCAACCTGGGTCTATCTGGACTGCAAGCCGACGCTCTAACCACTGAGCAAAACTGGCCAGGACAGGGCTATCTTTATTTTTGAAAGTATTACAGATGTCCCTCCTTTTTCACCTCATTGACTCCCTCCTCCCCTCTCCCAGTACCCCCACCTTCACCATACTGCTGTCTGTGTCCATTGGTTATGCACATACGCATATAAGTTGTTTGGTTTATCTCTTCCCACCCCTCCACCCTGGTTCCCTCTGAGGTTTGTCAGTCTGTTCCCTACTTCCATGTCTCTAGATCTGTTTTGTTCGTCAGCTTATTTTGTTCATTAGATTCCACAGATAAGTGAGATCATGTGGTACTTGTCTGTCTCTGACTGACTTATTTTCCTTAGCATAATACTCTCCAGGTTTCTCTATGTCATCTCAAAGGGTAAGAGATCTTTCTTTCTTACAGCTGCATAGTATTCCATTCAGTAAATGTACCACAGCATTTTAATCTACTCATCTAGTGATAGATACTGGACTGTTTCCAGATCTTAGCTATTGTAAATAGCACTGCTATGGACATAGGGGTGCATATATTCTTTCTGATTGGTGTTTCATGCTTCTTATGATATAGTCCTAGAAGTGGGATCGCTGGGTCAAATGGGAGTTTCATTT